TGTGCTCTAGAGCCCACGAGCCACAACTACTGTAGCCCGTGACCCTAGAGCCTGTGCTCCACAAGAGAAGTCACGGCAATGAGAAGCCCACGCACCACAATGAAGAGTGGCTCCTGCTTGCTGCAACTAGAGAAAGCCCACGTGCAGCAACCAAGACCCAATGTAGCCAAAAATAAATAAAATAAATAAATTTATTTAAAAAAAAAAAGAAATTCCCTTCCCAGAATTTGAATGAGGATCTAGTGATGTACAGAAGCAAGGAGGGTAAAAAACCATCTCTGAATGCCATGGCCGTTGCAGCTAGATAGTTTCTGGGGCAGCAGTGATGCTATGCTAGTTCTGTTCAGTGACATGCAAGATGATGTAAAGTTGCAGCACTTAGTGACTGGTAACAATGACAGTGATGTCTTCACTTGGCCAGATCTTTGATGTGGTTTGGGGCTTTATGTCTGGCTGCTTGTTCTCCAGCCTTCTCAGAAATTCTGTAAGCAGTCTAATACCTTTCAATAAATCCCAGTGAATAATTCAGTGAGTCAAAGCTGATTTCAGTTAGCTACAACCAAGAAAGTTTATAGGGTGTTGTCAGTAGCAAATGTTTAAACCAGTTTGAGTTAGGGTTTTTTGTTATTTGAAACCCAGAGCATCCCAACTTATCTCCCTGATTTTACTAAGAGTTAATGAGAAGAAACAAAGTGTTCCAAAAGATATCAGTCTGACTCTAAAACTTGTAAATGCGATATTTCATCACATGAACTTGCTATAATTTAATTGCTTATGGAAAACATACTTGTTAGGTAAAATTTTATTTGTTCACACAGATCATAAAAACGTTTATTCAGTTTGTTAACTTAAGCTGTTTATGAACTCACTGGCCTTTTGTTGGTTAATCCACCACTACAAATCCTGGATGGGTTTGCTTATCATAGAGAATCTTCAGGGCTTCCCTGGTGGCGCAGTGGTTGAGAGTCTGCCTGCCGATGTAGGGGACACGGGTTCGTGCCCCGGTCCGGGAAGATCCCACATGCCGCGGAGCGGCTGGCTGTGCCCGTGAGCCATGACCGCTGAGCCTGCGCGTCCGGAGCCTGTGCTCCGCAACGGGAGAGGCCGCAACAGTGAGAGGCCCGCGAACCGCAAAAAAAAAAAGAAAAAAAACAAAAGAAGTTTCAGGGCTGTAAAAAAAATTGGTACTGTCATTTAAAAGTCAGCAGTTGAAAAGCAATGAAAAAGAATAAACTTCTGATATACCCAGCAACATTGATAAATTCCGTATATATTATATTGAGGAAAATAAAACCAGATGCAAAAGAGTATATGTTGTATAATTCTATTTATATGATGTTCAAGAAGGTAAGCATAGATTGGGAAGAGAAGTGAGAGAAGCTCATGGGGTGCTAGAAATGTTTCTGTACCTAAATCTGGATGATGGTTATATGGGTATATACATTAATCTGTACAGTTAAGTTTAGATATAATTAATGCTGTCATATTAATACACTTTACATACTTTACTACATATGTGTACCCAATTAATCAAGAAATTGCTCATCAGTCAGCCATTAAGTACATGTTGGTTAGATAATAATAGAATTTATAAATCTTTGATTAAATATTAATAGAATTGAAGCTTCATAACAGAGGAACAATATCTGTTTCACTTAGCACTGGATACCCAAAGCACCATATATTCTACCAGGCACAGGGTGATGGAAAGGAGGGAACAGAGGGAGAAAGAAAGAAAGGACTTTATTTTAGCTCTTTTTCAGTTTATGTATTGTAATTAATGCTGCCATCCACTTTGTGCATTTGGTTTTTTCCTTAATTTAGCAAAGGAGATGGCTTTGAGCAAGGCTCCCCCATAGAATGTGTCCACAGAATGGTTGGGATGAGGAAAAAGAAAATATTCTCAGCCCTTACTTATGCCTTACAAATAGGAATAACTGAAGAGAGAATAAACTAACCAGAACCGTAAGCTCCAGGACCAGATCCCGGAGGAGGATCCTGTGATTTAAAGGAAGGAAAGATTTCATGCTTAATACCTGGGCCAAAAGACCAAATAATGGGAAGCTGCCCATGGGATGCACTGTAACTGGATAGAGTTTGCTTCTTGGAACTCCTGCTCTCTAGAGAAGAGTTTAACTGATCTGTTCAACCGGATGAAAGTGACAAGACGGAGGATGGGATTTCATATACCAGAAAATGAGGGACCATGAATAAAGGCTAAGAAGTCTCTCTTCCTTGTCCTTGGGTGGTGGCAGGGAGAAACATTTCCCATAATATATGGAGAGGGTTAGTCTTTGAGCAGCTAGTATGAGCATCTTTATAAGAACTTGCTTGTGAAAATGGGCTTTGATCAATGTATTTTAGGTAAAAGGCAGAGCCCAGATTTTTGCCCAAGAGGAAGCAACTCTGTATAACTCTCTGTAGAAAACAGAGTTGATGCTGACTGGGGGCTTTGGGGAAAATTGTCAAGATGAATCCCTCAGGCTTGCATTGGGTATAGGACGAACTATGGCATGAGGTAAAATGTTAATAGAATTTTATTAATTTTTTGGCTGAATGATTTCTGTTGTAAACCCTCTTCACCATTTCCTCTTTCAAATCTTTGGTAAAATTTATGTGCTTGATTAATATTTTATGAAGCCTATTTTCTTTGTGGGAGAATGAGTACAAAAGCTGAGTCTTACTTTGATTTTAGCACTAATTGAAACTTTCTTTGTCTGTCCGGGCTGGTCTAACAGAATACCATGGACCAAGTGGCTTATAAACAACAGAAATTTATTTCTCACAGTTCGGGAAGCTGGGAAGTCCAAGATCAAGGTGTTGGTAGATTCAGTGTCTGCTGAGGGCCCACTTCCTGGTTCATACAACCATCTTCTCATACCATTACATGGTGGAAGGGGAAAGGGAGCTCTCTGTGATCTCTTTTATGAGGACACTAAACCCATTCATTAGGGATCCACCTTCATGACCTAATCACCTCTCCAAAACCCCACCACCAAATAACATCACACTGGGGACTAGGTTTCAACATGAATTTTGGGAGGACACAAAGATTGCCTATAACAAACTCAGACTACGTGTGGATATGGCCAATATTGAGTTAGCCTCCATTTAGTCACTCTGGGTCTACCATGCTCTTTCTTAAGAGTCCCTGGGGAAGGAAGGGCACCAGGAGGGGACAAAAGAAAAGGGGAGACTGGGAATGCTGGACACAATGCAGAGTACTAACCACTATACGATCATGGCAGTGCTGCAAATCTTTTTAAAATTTATTTATTTATTTATTTTATTTTTGGCTGTGTTGGGTCTTCGTTGTTGTGCTCGGGCTTTCCCTAGTTGTGGCGAACAGGGGCTATACTTCGTTCAGGTGCATGGGCTCCTCCTTGCGGTGGCTTCTGTTGTTGAGGAGCATGGGCTCTAGGCGCACGGGCTTCAGTAGTTTTGGCTCGCAAGCTCAGTAGTTGCAGCACACGGGCTTAGTTGCTCCGTGGCATGTGGGATCTTCCTGGACCAGGTCTTGAACCTGTGTCCCCTGCACTGGCAGGTGGATTCTTAACCACTACACCACCAGGGAAGTCCCAGTGCTGAAAATCTAACAGGGCAAGCTACAAGGAGCTCTTGACCTGCTGGCCAGGCCCTCTTGGTCTGGACTGAAGATGGCCCATATAGTCTAGGAAGCTCTCTTGTTTCATGGTAATACAGGTGGCATATGCATAAACCTTCCAAGCAGCAAGTAAGAGACAAAGGGTTTCTTCCCAGGGTTTCTTATGGAATGTTGAGGATAAACCATAGCTCCCAAGAAAGACTGCCTAAATCCTGGCTCCTCTCTAGGGTTTATTATCTTTTTTTTTTTTTTTTTTTTTTGCGGTACGCGGGCCTCTCACTGTTGGGACCTCTCCCGTTGCGGAGCATAGGCTCCGGACGCGCAGACTCAGCGGCCATGGCTCACGGGCCCAGCCGCTCCGTGGCATGTGGGATCTTCCCGGACAGGAGCACGAACCCGTGTGCCCTGCATCGGCAGGCGGACTCTCAACCACTGCGCCACCAGGGAAGCCCACTAGCCTCCATCTTTTATCAAAGTCTTTCTTTTCTTTTCTTTTTTTTTTTTCCTCCAACTGTTCCAATCTGGTTTAGCTGGGCTAGTTCAAGGAAAGAAGAGATCATGGCCCAAGTTTGGGCCAGAGAAGTAACAGTGCACGAGCACCTCCCTGTGGCTGAGTGGCAGGAGAGCAAGAAACTTTAGCTCCTGGATCTACCCAAAGCAAGAGAGAAATGCAAGCAAACGATTTGTGGGAAGTGTAACTTTGGAGTTTATAAGTGGCATTTTCCCTAGACCATCGTGTCTTTAGCACCATAGGGTTACAGACCATGAGGTCTGAAATGCAGAAAAAAGATAGGTTCAGAATAGCCACTAAAGTATTTATTTTAATTTTTATGTATTTATTTTATAGAAATACAGTTGACTTACAATATCAGTTTCAGATGTACAGTATTATATTAGTTTTAGGTGCACTACATAGTGATTCAGTATTTTTCTAGATTATGCTCTATTCAAAGCTATTATTAAATATTGGCTATATTCCCTGTGCTGTACATTACATCCTTGTAATCTTATTTATTTTATACATAGTAGTCTGTACCTTTTAAAACTCCACCCCTATCTTGCCCCCTCCCTCCTTCCTTCCCACCACTGATAACTAATTTGTTCTCTATATCTTTAAGTCTGTTTCTATTTTGTTATATTCGTTTCAATTTTTAGATTCCACATATAAATGATAACATACAGTATTTGCCTTTCTCTCCCTGACTTATTTCACTAAGCATAATACCCTCCAGGTCCATCCATGTTGTTGCAAATGACAAAATTTCACTCTTTTTTTATGGCTGTGTAGTACTCAATTGTGTATATATACCACATCTTCTTTATCCATTCATCTGTTGGTAGACACTTAGGTTGCCTTCCATATCTTGGCTATTATAAATAATGCTGCTATGGGAGTTCCCTGGTAGTCTAGTGGTTAGGATTCTGCGCTTTCACTGCAGAGGCCTGGGTTCAATCCCTGGTCGGGGAACTGAGATCCCGCAAGCTGTGCAGTGTGGCCAAAAAAAAAAAAAAAAATGCAGCTGTGAACATTGGGGTGCATATATCTTTTCAAATTAGTGTTTTCATTTTCTTTGGCTGTATACCCAGGAGTGGAATTGCTGGATCATATGGTAGTTCTAGTTTTAGTCACTGAAATTTTTAAAGCCATGAATGTAATTTAGCAGGAACACTATCATAGGCAATCATTTTTTGTTTTGTTGCTAAAGCTGTTGGATACATGTTAGAATGATTTTTTTTTGTCTGAGTGTATGGCAGGAATATAATGTTTAAATCAATATGTAAATCAAAGCATCTCCACTAGCATTATTAATCTAGAAGGAAGTATTACATAGACAATAGTAAAAGGAAGGCCATTTAGTCTATATTTTCAAATGGGACTCGATCATTTTAAAGTTGTTCACTGGCAAAATTTTCCACCAAGTTAGTATAGATTATACGTTACTTCATAAAAGATAGCAATAATGAAGTTTGGGTTTTTTGTTTTGTTTTTCAGTATCTGTTTTCAGAGAAAAATCCTAAAACTTGTAGGGATTTCTGATGCCAGAAAATTTTGATATAGAAGAGTATATTTAGCAATCAGGGTGACTTAGATCATGGTAAGTGGCATATGTATAATTATAATTTGCATTCCAGTTATTTAAACTGAGATATCCTTGATCAGGTTGAACACACTGTGAGCAGAAGATCTCTTCTTCCAAGAAATAAGATGGAGACAGTCTTTGGAGAATGGCCTCACTGAATTGGTAAGTTAACTTTCTCCGGATTTTGATGACTTCCCCAGTTCTTCCATAATTCCTCAGCGCTCTGGCCATTTTCTGGTAAGTCATGGTCTTCCGATTGCCTTTTCTTTTCCCCCAAAGTTGGGCAAGTTTTTCTTTGTTTTTTGATACAAACTGAAAGATGCCTTTGGTTTGATCTATCCATTGAATACAAGATGCCATCTCGGGATTACACAGGGATTCATGAAGGTATTCAAACAGTCGGAGCTTCTTTCTGCCTAAAATAGAGGAAAACAATGTCATACTTCACCATGGCTCTACACAAGGAACATCCTCGGGAAGGGTTTGTTGAGTGACTACAGAATTCAGAGTTGCATTGGGACTGGTTTTCTTCCTACTCACCCCTTAGAATGCATTTATGGTATCATTTTATGGGACTTGAAAATCAAGGGTCTATTTGGCCTACTGCAGTTTCAACTGAACCTTTCTTTGTTAGGGAAGCTGTCCAAAATTTTGTACCGTCCTTCACTGGAGAAGGGAAGCATGGCACCTCTCTACTCGAGTCTCCCATTTGTCACGTGGTCTTCTGTCACAGTTAAATCTTGACTTCTAATTTTATGTTGTATGTTAAACTGTCTACAGAACAACAAGACTGAGCAAAATGGACTGCAAAGTTTAGTGGTTTTAAAGAGAAGTCTCAAAAGCCATTTCCAAAAGACAACTCATTTGAAGGGGCTTTATTCAAATAAGTTAAGTCAAATGAAGTAAGGAAGGTGAATGTATTTTGCAAAATGTAAAACAGTGTGCAAATACAAATGAAATCAGTAACAGACATGTAAAAATGCTAACTCTGGTTCTGCATAACTACTTGAAAAAATAAAGAAGAGAAAAAAACCAGAGTCGAAATGCCAAAATATCTTCATGACATTTTGACATTATTAGTGAGTAATGACAATGAGCATTGTGGTATTTTTTCATTGCAGTGAAATAAAATGGTACTGCCAGAGTTTTTTTAATCTCTTTTAGGAGCACAGCCCTTTATATTTCAGAATAACTAGAAAGGAAACTTTGGGAAGATCTGTTGCTATGGTTTTTGCTTGTTTGGTGGATTGGAGAACAAAGGTGACAACTGGTTTTGTGACCTCTGAATTGGCCTGTAAATACCATGTCCCACCAGATCTGTCAGTAGCTAAAAGCTCCACAGTCAAATTCCATTTTCCCCTTGAGAAAGTAGAACAGTGGATTCTCAAACTGCTTTAAACAGTCTCTGGGGTGTAATACTCATGCATCTGTCATCATTCATCCAAAAACCTCAAAGGTTTTTACAAAGGTTATCTTTGGCGTTATATTATCTTGAGTTTATGAATTGAGAAATGAAAGGGACTTACCAAAAAATACATCATGAATTAAAGTCACAGCCTTAAAGAAGTTCTCTGGCTCTCACCCAGTGGTCAAATCAATTATAATGGATTCTCATCTTTAAAAGTTTGTTTTTCAATTTTGAAAAAAATGTTTAAATTTTTACTTTTTGAAACTAAAAGTATTACATGATAAAAAATTCAAACAGAAGCACAAACAGAAAGTAAAAACTCCAATCTATCCTACATATTTCTAGAAAATAATTTGTTTTGCCTATATAAACATATGCATATCCTTTAAAAATTAAAAATGGTATCACAGTATTTTGTACTTTTTCCAGTGAATAATATATCTTAAATAAAATCATAGAACAATATAGAGATTAGCTATAGATAGAGGAAATACTAAACTGTTGACAAAGGTTACTTGTGGGGCATAGCATGGGAAGGAAGAACATTTTTTCACTTATTCTTTACATACTTCTGAATCAGTTGAATTCTTAATAATGAGCATTATTACTTTTGAATTATGGGATTAAAAAGGATTAAAACAAAACCCAAAATGTATTTAGAGCTCTTTCTTGTATTTCTTGTACACTTAAAGTATGCCTTTTTCTCTTTAATAACTATATATGTTCTATTTTTATGCATGTACTATTGTTCTCAATAATGAATTCCCAAATTATTTTGAAATTTCATTGTTTTAAATGTATCACTATTTCAGGTGGAAGACTAAGCTCTACAAACAGAAAATGGTAAATGATACATTCCCTAATGGCAAAGATCCACAGCCGAAAACATCAGGGAAAAGATACAGGCGGCACACCCTGGATTTAGTAACTAGTTGGTTTGTTTGTTTTAAAAAAAAAAAAGGTGACAGAGGTAGAAGTGTTATTGTCCTCATATTAAATTACTATCATTACTTAATATTCAATAGTAATATTCAGTAGATTTACTTTACTTATGTGATTTTATACATTATTCCTTGCTGGATTAGAATATTACTGCATAGTTAGACTTTTACAATTCTAGGATACAGTATACTGTTTTATAAGAACAAAACTAGTTATCTCAAAAAATATTCATTTAAAATAATTTTAAGTATGGACAGCTACATGTAAAAGAATGAAATTAGAAGATTTTCCCACACATTTACAAAAGTAAACTCAAAATGGACTAAAGACCTAAATGTAAGACCAGAAACCATAAAACTCCTAGAAGGAAACAAAGCACCAGGCAGAACCTCTTTGACAAAAATTGTAGCAATATTTTTTTTGATCTGTCTCCTAAGGCAAAGGAAACAAGAGCAAAAATGAACAAATGGGACCTAATTAAACTTAAAAGCTTTTGCACAGCAAAGGAAACCATCAACAAAACAAAAGGGCAACCTACTGAATGGGAGAAAATATTTGCAAATGATATGACCAAAAAATGGTTAATATCAAAAATATGTAAATAGCTCGTGCAACTCAATATCAAAAAACAAACAACCCAATTAAAAAATTGGCAGAAGACCTGAATAGACATTTTCCCAAAGACGTACAGATGACCAACAGGCACATGCAAATCTGTGCAATGTTTATGCTCAACATCACTAAAGATTCAGAAATGCAAATCAAAAGCACAATGAGATATCACCTCACACCTGTCAGAATGGCTATAATTTAAAAAAAAATCACAAATAACAAATGTTGGCAAGGATGTGGAGAAAAAGGAGCCCTTGTACACTGTTGATAGGAATATAAATTGATAGGGCCACTGTGGAAAACAGTGGGGAGATTCCTCAAAAAACTAAAACTAGAGGTACCAGGGACCTCCCTGGCAGTCCAGTGGTTAAGACTCCGCGTTTCCAATGCAGGGGGCTTGGATTCAATCCCTTGTTGGGGAGCTAAGATCCCACGTGCTGCATGGCATGGCCAAAAAAAACAAAAAAGAACTACCACATGACCCAGCAATTCCACTCTTGGGTATATATCCAAAGAAAATGAAAACACTAATTTGAAAAGTTACATGCTTTCCAATGTTCATAGCAGCATTATTTATAATAGCCAAGATATGGATGCAACCTAAGTATCCATAAACAGATGAATGGATAAAGAAGGTGTATGTATACATACAATGGAATATTATCCATTAAAAAAAGAATAAAATCTTGCCACTTACAACGAAGTGGATGGGCCTAGAAGGTATTATGCTGAGTGAAGTAAGTCAGACAGAGAAAGACAAATACTGTATGTTATCTCTTATATATGGAATCTAAAAAATAAACAAAAAAAACCTTAAAAATTAACAAATGAATGTAACAGAATAGAAACAGACTCACAGATATAGAGAAGAAACTAGTGGTTACCAGTGGGGAGAGGGAAGGAGGGAGGAGCAAGATAGATTGGGGTACAAACTACTATGTATAAAAGAAATAAGTTACAAGGATATACTATGTAGCACAGGAAATATAGCCAATATTTTATAATAAAAATGCAGTACAAGCTATAAAAATTTTGAATCACTATGTTGTAAACCTGGAACTAATAATATAAATCAACTATACCTCAATTAAAAAATAAAAAATAAAATAATTTTTTTAAAAAATAATAATTTTAAGTAGCTATGATAAGGTATCATTTTTTAAATTGCACTATAAAATTGGGATGCATCTTATATGTCTTTGTATATCGGAGGTAATTTACTATCACAAACAACACTGCAAGGAACATCCTAATACATATATACGCACACACATGCATCTAAGGTATTTTGGGAAATATCCATAGTGCCAGACTATGAGCACATTGCTTTACGTGGATCTTCTCACTTAATTTTTATAGCAATCTTACAATGTCTGTATAATTATTATTATTTGTTTGGTTGTTTTTGAATAAGGAGACTGTGGT